GATTGTTTGGTTATGGATGCATAGATATGTGATATAAGTGATATAAATGGCTAAGATATTTATTATGATTTTGTTAGTCGTAAAGTTCCATGGGAATTTAACTAAGATTTACAAAGAACAAATCAGTCCTACATGTTAATAGGATAAAGAGAAACTGAGGCACTACAATTCTGCCAATTTCTGAAAAGTTACATAAAGGCACAAAAAAAACAACAACACAAAACAACAAAAAACAGCTTCCTTAATAAATTATATGCTTTAACCTGATACCAAAATTTCTAAACTCCAGCAGCAAAATTTAAGTACTCTCGAAAATAACAAAAAGCTAAAAATAATTATAATTTTCGAGACAAAACATAAACGAAACGAATGTATAGGTCTGGAAAAATATCGGAAGCAGTTACAGGTGCCCAACAACACATTTATCTTTATATATATATATATTTATCGAACTTCATTACAACTAGTAAAAACTCAGACCTAGGTAAGATCAGGCTTAATCTGCTTATAAAGCTTCAACGCTTGAAGAACTCACATGGGGAAACTTTTATAGAAAACCTCAATAAGACTTTTTTAAATCTATATAATTATAAGATGAAGTTAAGATCCACTATTTCGAAACAAGAAGTTTATACGGAAAGAAGTTTCGATATTGTCACATGGTCTTTTCGTAAGCAAAGGAGGATAGTGGAAATGGTCAAAACTAGTTGTTCAGTAAAGTGGATATTAATTTGATTTTGTAGTACGTTACTTGGTATTGTGTATTTACCTACTATCCAATAATGTTATAAATGAAGTGGAAAAGAAAGTATTAGCCATTTCTTGGACTTTTTAAATTAATACTTTATAAAATTAAACAGGAATGAAACAATGAAGATAATGAAACACCTTTTAAGCATCTTAAAACATATGTAAACAATTCCATATTTACATGCCTACAATTCAACCCAAACCTAAAAACCTTAGCTCATAAAAGTTAGATTCCCATAAAAACTAAGTAAAAACAAACATCATTATCATTAAACTCGACAAAGGTAATATACTCGCGATCTTAAATAGAATAGACCACACAACAAAGTTTTAACATTCTGATAGGAAACACTAAATTCTCAAAGCTCGACAAAACTCCAACAAAGACCATAGGAATCAAAGTAAATAAATACTTTTTTACAATCATAAAAGGATAATGTGATAGATATGAAGACCTACAGTCAGATCAAACCCTGTGGATCGCAAGCCGGAATCCTATATGAGTTATCCAAAATCCATAAAATAGATTACCCGATAAAACCTATTGTCTCAAATATTGGTTGATTTATCACAAGCGTGCCAAATATTCAAAAAACAACCGCAAAGTTTCACAACAAATGAATTTACGTTAAAGTACAGCTTTGAATTTATAGATAAGATTAGGAAACTTTGATGAATGATGAAGACATAACAATAGAAAGTCTCGATACTGAATTAATTTCACTAATATCCTGTAATCAAAACCATAGCCATCTGTTTAATATACAAAGACAAAAAAAATGAACTCCGCAGATTGATTCTAGCACTAAAGAAAATGAAGAACAGATTGCCTCTACATGTTTTCTAGAAACAGTTACCGAAGAATCGCCCTTCCTATTCAATAGAAAAATATACGAACAGAAAGACAGGGTCAGCATGGGTTCAAGTGTAACACCTATACTAGCAGCATCTTCTAGATAAAGAATTTAGTGTTTTAAAATATAATAAGGCCTGGTAGTAATATCTTATGATAAGTATAATTATAATCATGCTTCATCAGCTTGTAAAAGGCGTTCACACAATATTAACTGTTCTTGTAACAAATGTTCTATGTATATAGTGTTCCGACCACTACTGTGTTTGTTGTATCCCAACTGGCCTGAATAGCTCTGGATTTAGCGATACGCGTCGTTGGCAATGGATATGACAAATATGATATGTTTGGAATGCTGTTGTTACACACCCTTCTAATTCTTGTAAAATCCCCTAGAGACTAGATTAAGAACGTAGTGTTTAAAAATGTAATAGGTCTAATATTAATGTCTTCAGACAAGTATAATTATAATCATGCTTCATCAGCTTGTAAAAGACGTTCACACAATATTAACTATTCTTGTAACAAATGTTCTATGTATATAGTGTTCCGACCACTACTGTGTTTGTTGTATCCCAACTGGCCTGAAGAGCTCTGGATTGAGCGATACGCGTCGTTGGCAATGGATATGACAAATATGATATGTTTGGAATGCTGTTGTTATACACCCTTCTAATTCTTGTAAAATCCCCTAGAGACTAGATTAAGAACGTAGTGTTTAAAAATGTAATAGGTCTAATATTAATGTCTTCAGACAAGTATAATTATAATCCTGCTTCGCCAGCTTGTAAAAGACGGTCAGACCACATCTTCAGGTGTTCTCACCGAACTAAACGATTAGAAGTCTGTCCAAGAAACTACAAGTTTCTAATTTATCAAACATGCGTAGACGATGCCTTGGATGTCTTTCGTAAAAAACAAATACGTTCCTGAATTATCTGACCAATCATTAAAAATTTACCATCGAAATATAACAAAATTTCTTCCTGCTATTTCTAGACACTTTGGTATTAAGCAAGGGTAAAATCTCTGAGGATTTATGATAGATTGCAATAACATTCTCAGAATTATATAAAAACCGTAATAACTTTACTCCACTAAAATACAAAGAAAACTGATCAATATTGTATTGCATACAACATTTCAGTATGTACGGACAATACATAACATTTCCGTTCACGGGTAAGTATGGACTGAAAATCAGATGACAAATAATCAAACTTATTTAAAGAGCCTTCCGTACATCAAACTTATTTAAAGAACCTTCCGTACATGAAACTAATCAAACTTATTTAAAGAGCCTTCCGTACATCAAACTTATTTAAAGAGCCTTCCGTACATCAAACTTATTTAAAG